CCCGTCAAAAAGCAATACACTGTGTTCGCGGGTGGCCAGCAGAATGCCCACGATGTTGTCGCAACGTGCACTTTGCATTGTTTCTGACACGGACGGTGGTCCTGCGCAAAGCGGCTTCACTAAGGGTGCCCCGCCATCCTTGTCAAATAAAAATTACAACGTGCTCGCAGGGCGCCCGCGCGCTGTCCAGATTTTGCTGCAATGTGCATTTCGTCGTGTTTTTTTTTTTTCAGGGATTGTGGAGGGTGTTAGCAGGATGGGCCCCGCAATGTGCATTGTGTATGGTTTTTTTATTGGGATGGTGGGGGAGGCGCATGGTTCCGGGTTGGCTGCCGGCCAGGTGAGGTAGGGGGTGTTTATTAATAGGGATCAGTGATCAAGACACCCCTGGATAGCAAGCCGTCCAGCTCACTCCCACACGCCCTCCCAACACAGAAGTAACACCCGAGCCTCAGCATGTTCAGCGGTCCTCTTTGGATGTGCAGCTACTGGGAACCAACACCGACCCCTTTTGCGCGACGCTGGGGCGAGGTGCGCCACGCGCGCCAGGCACCCCTGGGGCCCGAGCATGTCACGCACGCCTGCCGCGCCAGGTGCGTCACGTGCGCCGCGTGCGCCAGGTGTGCCGCATACTCCAGCCGCGCCAGGTGCGTCATGTCATGTTCGGGGCACGTTCAGTGTGTGTCAGGTGCGCCTGCGCGCGTGACAGCACACATCGGGAACATGTCGGCCACCAACATCCTTGTCGAACACAATGCCCATCATTGTGTCTGGTGGGCATGCGCACAGCAGGCCATACACCACCCCCCCCGCCGCCCGTGTCAAAATCCACTTGACAGTGATCGCGGGGTGGCCGCGCATGATCCAGATTTAGCCGCGAGGTGCATTTCGAGTTGTTTGTTTAGAGATGGTAGTCCTGCCCACAGCAGGCAATATGCTGACACCCCCGCCGTCCCTGTCAAAACAAGATAAAAGTGTTCGCGGGCCTCACGAATATGATTCAAGACTTTGCTTCAAAGCTTACTTTGCATTGTTTGTTGACAGAGATGGTGGGTGGGGCGCATCGGGTTGGCCGCGCATGCTCCAAGTGTGGGGGCAGAGTGCGTTTTGTATGGTTTTGTTGACCGTGATTTTTGACAGTGACGGTGGGAGGGGGGAGCATGGGGCCCCCATGGTTCCCGCCGTTTGGGGGTGGGGTATACGAAGAGGGAACAGTGATAAACCCCTCCCCCGAGCAGGGGAAGGATGTGTTGTGGCAGGGAGCTCCGTTAGACCACTCAGCCCAGAGGGTTGGCGAGATTTTCCAAGGATGTTCTGGGTGGGGCAGTTTACAACATGATCGTCATATTCATCCCGTTTGGCGGTGCCGCCAATAATCGTATGACGTTTGCGCACGATGAAGGGCTTCAGGGAGGCCAGGTCGCTGCTGGTGAGCGGTTCTGCGCCCTTGGCAGTGGCTTCTAGTTCACTAAGCGCCGCGTTGACAAGTATCTTTTTAAGCATGGACCTCTTGACCCCGAAATTGATGTCTCTAATGGTCCAGACCTTGCCCATGGAGTATTCTGCTGCATGTAGTGCCCTGAGCCCCAGTGTCTTGCCTCGTTCCAAGATGTTCCAAGCCACTCTCGAGCACATCGGCGATTGCATCTACGAAGCCAGTGAGGGCCATCTGCTGGCGGTCTTCAGAGTCCCAGGGGGCGCTCACGTCAGCGGCGCGATGCCCATTTTGGACCACCAACGTGCCGGTCATCTTCTCGATGAGCGAAGAGCGAAGTGGCTTGAACGTCCCAGGGGAAGATGCCCTCGCAGTTCCTCATCCAGACCGTTCCAGCTTCGTCCTCGAACAGAATGACGCTCTTGGTGACCGGGTCCTCAGCGAACTGGAAGTCAGCGTTTGTGCAGATACATTTGAGATAATCTCCGGCACGGCAGCGCGTTTCAGACAGTAAAGCGCGTTTGCAGCCTCATGGCACCGATGTAAGTGTGAGATGCCTGCGGCCTGGAGCCGGCACTGCGAAATTCACTGTGCTCCCATTGCAGATTCACGTCGTCGTCGTAACCCTCTTATGGACCCAGTCACCCGGAATCCAGGCCGCTGGCGTGCGATTAAGAGCAGCGTGAGATGTTCTACCTATCGTGTACACTCGCATGATGATCCCCCGTCAGGTTCTTGGTTACCATTTGACAGTCTCGCTGCCTTGGCCGCGTGCCAGATATGAAGAACACGGTCATGCCGTCGCGCCGTAGAAAGAATGGCACTCAGTAGTCCTGAAACGACGCTAGGCGGCTGGAGCCCAGGATCTTCAAACCCAATGCCCGTGGTCAGTTGTGGCCGTCGGGGGTTGACCCACTTTGTTGCAAACAGAAGTGCAATACTTCTGCTGGGATACTCCAAGCAAGCAGAATCACTAGACATCAACTGCAGTCTTCGTGGTGGCGATTCTCGCGAGGTTCAGATCGGATTGCCATCTCCATCTCGTCGTGCGTGACCAGCTTGGAGCATATACCTTTCCCAGAAGGAGACGCCACCCTGATGCTCCAGCCCTTGGCCGGCGCAGCAGAAGATGGGGCCGCAGATTATATGCGTTGGCGAGGGCCTCGTCGCACTTCAGCAATTTACTTGCCAAGCCGTTGGACGAGGTAGTTGTTGCTCGATTTGACCGCCTGGTGCAGCTCCTCGACCATTCTCGATGTGATGTCCGTCCAGTGTTGACGTGCGGTCCATGTGAGGGACATGGTGACCTCCTTGATACAACTTGATTTGAGCCAGAAGTGCTGTTTCATACATGGATCCGATCTCAGGATGTGTTAAGACTTCTTTGGGCTGCCAGCATCTGCTTGAGTGATTCGATATGCTGAAATTTGTGTTCCGTATATCGCGGGCCTTCTTGTCTAGTGTTGCCGCCAAGTTTTGATCGGTCATCGTAACGAATTCGCACTTCATCTGGTGGACGTCCTCTCTGGCCTAGGTCTCGTTGAACTCGTGGTATCTGTCGTGAACAAGTCTTTCCATGCTGTCGAATAGCTCCTGCTGTTTGTATCCTTGTTGCATGCAACAGAATCGTGTTTCTTTGTTCGGTCGCTCCGCCCGAAGTGGCCTAGGGCGTAGGCAGTATTGCATGTTGATCGAGTGCTGAAGAGGTTGATGGTCTTGGACTCTGTGTTGCTTGTGTAGCTGCAGAGCGCGTCCCGCGGAGCACATAGACTGGATGTGTCCGCATTATGCATAAGCTCTTAAGGATAGCAGATGTGATCGATGTGCGACTCCGAGCTGTTCCCCACAAAGGCGGTGCATTGCAACATATTGTGTTTGGTGCAGACAAGTTACAATCAGCCAAGGCAGGTCGCAGCAGTATTGATGCGATCGCTTCTCGTCCGCAGGCACAAGCTCCAGCAGTTGTGCCATCGCTATTGAATCGTCCCTATTGGGTAGTAGACCTCCCTCCGTTCAGATCAGTGCATATGATCGGCACAGGTCTCCGTTGTGGCATTTCTTGTAAAGCACGTGTGGACCAGTCGGTCATCGCATGCATCGTCTTCTTGTAGACTAGTCTCAATGTCATGGATGTCTGACTGGGCGGGAGGTAGAGACCGATGCGACCATGTGGTATTTCGACAGACTGCAATGTGATAACTCCACATCCACCCCACAACTGCTTAGAAGTGTCGTGCGCGCGTTTGAAAGAGCAGCGGGTGAATCGAGATCGCCGAAGAAGAGACGTGATGTCGCAAGAGAAAAATATAATCATGAGGCAATGTGGATATCCGAATTACACACTCCTGTGTTTCTGAATCGCTCCAGTGTCGCTCACAATCTGGCCGAAGGAGCGCGCCTGCGTGCCAACCAGCGCGTACACGTCCTGGTTCGGAATGTTGCACAGTGTGTCAAGCAAGCGCTCGTGTGTGTGCGCCGCGCACGGGTTGTATCGAATAACACGCAAGAGCCTATTTTGACCTGGGGGCACGGGCAGTAGTTGCCGTCATTGCCTCCAGAGCATGAGAGCATGCGGCCCGCATGTGTGTGTGTGTGCGTTGTGTGTTGTGTGTTGTGTGTTTTGTGTGTTGTGTGTGCATGCCTCATGTTGTGAGTTCGGTCACGAGGGTGCTTGGGTCAAGTAGGGGGCCACCTAGGAGGGAACGCGGGAGCAGGAGGATGGAGAGGATCGGAGTAGGGAGCAGGAGCGAGAAGGAGGGAGATGTGGGACGAGGAGCAGGGTAGCAGGACGATGATGAGGACGAGGGGGGAATGAATGAGAAAGACAGTGGGAAGCTGGACTGGAAGACCGTGGAGGAGAGGCAGGAGACGCTGAGGTTGGAGGAGGAACAGCTTGAATGGAGGAATGAGCGTGAGGTGGGAGTGAGGGCGAGGTGGCTAGGGAATTGTCTTGACGAGGGAAACTTCTCTCCGTGCACTCTTCTGTGCTGTATTGTTTGGTGTGTTGACAGGCGCCCTTGCGGGACGCCTGTCAACTCACCCGTGCCCATGGGTCTCTCAACTGTTTTGTGGTTTCGGGACATCAGCATCTTCTTGTTCTGCATCAGGGGGGAGGCACTCGTGACTGAGAAGACTGAGCAGCACCATCGCGCAAGAGGCGGAGATGAGAAGGGCGGAAATCGGGATCGGGAATAGGAGGACGAGATGCAGGGTCTGGGCGAGGTCGAATCTCGAACCCCGACTTCGGCGCTTCAACCTTGACGTCGATCTTCGAAGCTCGACGAGGCCAGTCTCCGACTTCTCGAGCTTCGAAGTCGAACCTCAACGTCGATGGTTCGAATCCTCGACCATGGGACCCCCAGGTACCCCGCGGTGGAGCGATGGTGGCAGCTTCGCCCGCCGCGGCCTGGGCCAGAACGCTGCCTTTCTGCAGGGAGGCGGCGCGAGGGCGCGAGCACGATGGTGCGGCGGGCGTCGTCCGGCTCGACTTGCGAAGTCAGGCGGCCCGGGAGCCTCGAGCCTCGGCCCCCCCCCGACCACCCCCCCGACGCCGCGGCGACGAGAGGCCCCCGGGAAGCCCACGTGAGGCAGCGGACGTCCGAGAGCCCAGGCGTTCGGTACTCGAGCCCTCGAGCCCTCGACGGTGGCGGCGGCAGGAACGGGACAGCCCGCGGCGGGCGCTGGGGAGACCCTGGGTGTTCGATGCTCGAGCCTCGAGCCTCGAGCCTCGCTGCTCCGCGAGCCCCCGAGCCGCCCTCGAGCCTCCGAGCCTTCGAGGAGCCTCGAGCCCCAAGCCCTCGAGCCTGCGACGGAGACGGCGGCGAGCACGGGAGAGCGGACTGGACCATCAGACCGCGCCCTCTCGAAAGAGGTGGACGATCTTGTCGTTGAGTGGCTGGCGGAGGACTGGGCGCAGATGCCTGTAGGACTGGGAGCAGGGGGCGGAAGGTACACTGTAGGAGAGGTGCGGGGCCATGGTATGATACCGGCGGGGCGGCCGTCGGCGCCCTCGGCAGGCAGCTCTCGGCGCGGGCGGCGGAGCACCGGCCGCGCGCCCTGGGCGGGGCGGCGCTGCTGGGCTGGTCCAGGCGGGCCTCCGGCGGAGGAGCGGGGGCCCTCCACCAGGGCTCAAGAGACGGGGGTAGGCCAGAGGAGGAAACGGTACCCATACCTCTACCCTTCGCCCGTTTTCTTCTTTTTTGGGCCTCCTGGGCCTCCGTCGTCGCCACCGCTGGATTCGCCTTGAAATTCTGGTCAGAACGCACCCCGGGAGAGGTCTGGGGAGCAGCGGTATCGGTACCTTCCGATTTCCCCAGTATCGGGACGCACCATGACATGAATATAAAAGCTCCACGCACCAGGGAGGGGGGTCCAGCGCCGATCCAAGAAATCCGCGCGGACCTCAGAGTTGTTGTGTTTATGTCGTGGTTCGTCCCCCTAGGGGGTCAATGCAAACGGGGGTCAGTCAGAGCGCTGGATCTTGCAGGACCCTGCAGGGCGAGAGTCGCATTGACCCGGGATTTTGCAGGATCCTGCAAGGCCTGACTGACCCGGGTCTGCATGCACCCGGGCCAGTGAATCCCAGATTCCAGGAGGGAGTGGAGCGAGCACGCAGCAGTGCAGACAAGGACGACAGCATGGAGCATGTGGTAGATTGCAGACGCCGTGGAACTGCGGGGGAGGGAGGTAGGTGGCATGGCTCCGGGCGGCGCACGGGCAGCCCCCCAGGCTGGCGGCTCCCGAGCATAGCCTGCAGGGCGGTCTCGTTTCGGCGACGCCCCCGGGGGGCCCCGCGCCCCGGGCCGCCCCCGCACTGCCCCGGGGGGACTGCCCGGGGTGGCAGCCTGTGCGGAGCCCGAAGCCTCGCCAGAGGGACGAGCCGAGGGGCTAAGACAGGGTGGATGGACTCGGGGTGGATTGCATTGGACACTTTGCTTCTTCGAACTTCCAGTGCCTGCGCCCTACGCCTCTTGAGTCGTCCTTCTGGCAACTCCAGCCGCTCCGTTGGGCGTGCGGCCACCCCTGGCCGCGATCACAAGATTTACGCTCTTCAACAGGCCTTTGCATAAACCCTCCGCGTCCAAGTCGACATTGATGTCGCCCGCAACCCTTGTTCGGACTGCTGCCGAGCTGCTCCTCAGCCACCAACTGGGGCCCGCCTGCACGTTCTTCCGCCGGCGCGGACGGCCCACCTGGCTTGCCGCCGAGCCAGTCCTGGTACGACCCTGTTGTCGGTGGCAAGGGAGGGGTGGAAGTGAGAAGGAGAAGGCCTTCTCAGAAGGCGGCGGGACTTCTCAGAAGCCCTCGCGCCTTCTGAGAGGTTTTTTGTGTCTTCGGGGAAGGTTTAGAAAACTTCTGGGGGACTTCCGAGCCTTCTGAGAAAGCCCGGCCCTTCTCACTTCCCCCAAGGCTCGCCGCCAATGCTGTGAGCTGGCCGCCCCGTCCGCATCGATGCCGCGACACCGTGGAGCGCATCGAGCGGCGGCGCAGGGGCAAGGAGCGGCGACGTGAAGGGGCACCGATGATTTTTGTGACGGCTAGCCGTGTCGCCAGAGTGTCCCGCGTCGCAGGTCGGTCGGCCGATTGCGCCAGGGGGCCCAGCTCCGCAAGATCATGCACGCACAAACACAAACACTTACGATGTTGTCGGGCTCCAGCGGGCGCCCGCCCGGCCTTCGTCGAGTTTGCGTGGGCGCGCTTGCGCGGCCGCGGGCTGTCGATGCCTCAGATCTGCAGCGCCGACGGCATGCGGCGTCGATCCGGGAGGCCACCTGGGCGAGCGGCCGCGCAGGACCCGCCCGGTGTCCGAGAGTGCTGCGCGGACGGGGCGCCGCTGCGATCCAGCGGCCCTCGGAGGCGGGCCACCGACGCCCAGAGGCCCGCCACTCCGGTCGACGAAACTTCGGCTGGCTCTGAGTTGAAGTCGGGCCTGTTCCTCTACAGGAGGAATATTCAAACAAAAAGCAAACAATTGTCTGGGGACGATTTTTCTACAATGTCTGGATCATTTTGGAGTGTTTTCTATTATTTTCATTTTCGTCCAAAATCCGCCTGTAGGGGAACATGCCCGACCTAATTCTAAGTCCCCGTGGCAACGGCGCGCTGTCTGTCCCCGCTGTCTGCCTGGGAGGGGGGGGAGGGCGTACGGCAGCGTTGGGGGGGTGGGGGGGCGCTGCGCTACGCTGCTCCCGATCGGCCCGAAGGCCGTGCCGATCTAGAACTCGGGAGAAAAAGGCTTGGGCGTCTTACCTAGATTGCTGCTTGGACAGGCAGAAGCGGGAGCAGGAAGGGGGGAGGATTGGAGGGAAGGCGGAGGAGGGTGTAAGGGAAGGACATTCTCAGATCAAGTTCGTGGGGACTTTCACGAAGGACGCCTTGTAGGCAGGCGTTGACTCAGCCGGTCCATCTCTGAAGCGGTTGCCCGCGATGGTGCGCCCGGCATGGTCGACGACAAGGAAAGCCATTGTGCGGCAGATCCGTGTTCTATTGTGCGACGCGCCAGTTGAAATATTCTGCGCGCGCGCGGAGGACTGACTCGCTCGCGTTCTCCCTCTCTACCGTTGTGACGGGTTTGGCCACCGCCGCCTGCAAGGCGGCGTAGCGGTGCAAAGTATCCGTGCGTGATTGGAAGGATCGTAAGAAGATTGGTTACGATCATTCGCGATACCGAGCATGACCAGGTCATGCACAGGGGACGGAGGCGCGGTTCAAACTGCAAGCGGTTGGAATTCGCTTTAGCACATGGCAGGTGTCTTTTGCTGGGGGACTGCGCCGCACCTGACATTACCCGTGGACGCGAACGTGGCAGGACCTGGCTCTTAGGCGTTAGCCACTGGCAACTGGACAATTACGAAATCAAGGCCGTCAAGTGTGGACTTGCCCTTACATGTAGCGGCGGGTACTCTTCCTCACTCCCCCGTTCTGCTTTGGCTCTGCTACTATCCTGCACCAGCGCGTCTAGTCCCTTCTCCCTCCGCGTGCAATCCTTCTTCCACATCTCATCTCACGTCTCCATCCGTCATGCACCTCCCTCTTATCTTCCTTTTTTCCTCGTTCCTTCTGTCCCTCCTCCAGAATCGCTTAGTTTTAGCTCATTTCTTCCCTCTTCTCGAATATTCGCCTGTCAGCCTCCACGTTGTCTTCTTGTTCCCATAGGGAGGGCGACGTGCATCTGCCACCCAAGCTCCAGAAGGCAAGTTTTAGTCCTTGGTCTTCGTGGTTATCGTATCCCGGCCAGGCTGGGAGGCCATAAAGATATGGTCCGCGGCTCACTTGGACACAGATCCTGGGCCCCGGGAGCCCTGCTCTCGCCGTGCATGGGCAGGAGACGGAGCGGGAGGAGGGAAGAGGGAGAGGAGAATCATGAGGAGTGAGGAGAATGAGGAGCAGGAGTAGTCAGGATGAGGAGGAGGAACACTACCACAGAGGAGGAGGATAGACACGACAACGACGGCGACGGCTACTTACTACTCTTACGGCGACAGTCGCGGCGACAGGGTCGGAGATTCACGACGACGAACGGCAGATGGATGTAGGTGGGGGGGATCATGGTGGCTGGGCAGGTGAGAGTGTTTCACATTCGCCCCTCAAACCTCGGACCAGGAGGAGGACGAGGAGGGCGAGGAGCAAGGCGAGAAGACGAAGGAGAAAGAGGTGGAGGTGGCGGAGGATAGGGGGAGCCGTATGATGATGAGGAGGAGGAAGACGGGGAGGAGGAGGACGAGGAGGAGGAGGAGGAGGAGGAGGAGGGGGATAGGACGAAAACGAGGAAGGTTGGATGATAACGACGAATGTTTTTGACAATCTTGATGTTGATTATTATTGGGTGATGGGGGTGAGGACCGGTGAGGATGATTATCGAAGACGCCTACGGCGAATCACCGCCACCCCCTGCCTTTTTGGAAGCGCCTATGTGGCCGAACGTTGACGCCAGACCTGCCAAGCTATCGGACCATGTGTTCCCCGAATCGGTTTGGAAAGCCTTCGGGGAACACGTGGGCATCTTGAAGGTCATCTTGGCCGTCTGGAGGCCATTTCGACCCTTTCGGGCCTTCTTGGAGGACGTCTTGGAGGGCTCTTGGGCCGCCTTGGAGGCCATCTTGAGCGTCGTGGAGGCCTCTTGGGCCGTCTTGGGAGCCTCTTGGGGCTGTCTTGGGCCTCTTGGGCGATCTTCGGGGGCACTCCGGCCGTCGGAAGGCCGAACAAAAGCAAATGCCACGATCCTTCAAAAACTCATGGGAAATCAATGATTTGGGCCTTTTTCGGGCTTTCCTGGAGGCCCTCTTGGAGTGGGCCGTCTTGGGCCATCTTAGGGCCATCTTCGGCCGTCTTGGTGAGCTCCTGGCCCGTCTGACGTCGTCGGAAGCCGTTTGGGGGGCCTCTCTGGGCCGACTTGGGGCCTCTTGGACTGCTCCAGGGCCGTCTTGGAGGCCTTCTTGGGCGTCTTAAAGGCCTCCTGGGCCGTCTTGGGGGTCTCTTCGGGCCGTCTTGGGGGCCTCTTGGGCCGTTCTGGGGCCATCTTGGAGGCCTCTTGGGCGATCTTTGGGCGATCTTTGGGCGCTCTTG